ACTTGCATTTCTTCTAGCAAGGCATAACGATTAAAAAAGACCTGGCCTGCAACCCATGCATGTGCTCTGTCCAGGAATTGAACCGGCAACCTTTAGGTTCACAGGCTGGCACCCAGTCCACTGAACCACACCAGCCAGGGCTCTGGGTATATTTTTAATATAGAACCAATAGGACTTCATGGATTGATACAAAATATGATAGGAGTTAAGGATGACTACAAAGGATTTTACCCTGAGAATGTAGAAGGATGGAGTTGTCATCAGCTGAGAAGAAAACTGTTGAACAAGTTTGAGGTGGTGACGGGGAAGAAAATCAGTTCAACTTTGGACATGTTAATTTTGTGATGTCATGTAAGGACCCAAGTAGAGATATCAAACAGGCAGTTTCATGTATTTCTAGAGTTTGGAGGAGAGGTATGGACTAGAGATTAAATTTGAAAGTCGTCAGTATATGGATGTTATTTAAAACCACAAAATTGGATGAGATCACCAATGAAATGAGTATAGAGGAAGTACTGAGCCTTATCTTTCCAAAGATAGAAGGCCAGGAGAGGGGGAAGCAGAAGAGGAAATTGAGATGTGAACAAAAATGAAGGAATAAGAAAGGCCAAAGAAAAGCTCTGAAAGTCATGTATCAGAAAGTGCACCAAGCAGGAGGAAACATTCAGCTGAGTCAAATACTGCTGAAAGGTCAAATAAAACGAGGACTGAGTAGTGACTCTTGCATTTAATGTGTAAAAAGAGCAGTTTCGGTGGAATGGTAGGAATGGACACCTAACTGGGGTGCATTAAAGAGAGAGCAGAAATCAGGGGCACGGAGTACTGATAACTTTTGAGGTGTTGCGCTGCAAAAGTTGATTTTGTAAGACGGGCTAGGTAACAGAATGTGTATACACTCAGAAACATTAGAATAGGTGAAAAAACTAGTGATGTAGGTAGGAAAGGGGAGAAATGATGGCACAAAGACAGGGAGCTGACAGATTGGTTTTAAAAAGGACCATCAACAGCCCTGGCCAGGTTGTTAGGCGTCATCCTACACCAAAAGGTTGTGGGTTTGATTTCTGGTCAGGGCACATACCTAGGTTGCAGGTTTGATTCCCCCATTAGGGTGTGTTTGGGAGGCAACCCTCAGCCAAGGTGTGTACAGGAGGCAATTGATCAGTGTTTCTCTCTCCCTCCCTCTCTAAAGTCAATAATCATATCCTCAGGTGAAGATTCAAAAGAAAAAAGAAAGTGAGCATAAAAACCCTAGTAATACTAAATGCAAAGTACTGAGTCAATGGTGTGGTGGGAGTCAATGGAAGTTCTCCAATTCCTTCCATTTTTTTAGTTAAGCAGAAAGCAACTCATCTGTTGACAGAGATAATCATGAACCAAAGAAATAAAGTATGATTGTCAGGTAGTATTAAGTGGTTTCTTAAGGTTCTGATCATGAATATAAAGTGTGACTAGCCACCTGGTTTACTCCAGCTACATTCAGCTATGTGGGTGCAAGTGCAGGGCAGGCACACTTTAGCCAAGGATGTGATTTTGGCAAATGAGTACAACAGTGAGGTAAGAAAGTTGAGGGTATATTTAAGAGAGTGATCATCATCAATCATATTATACAAATAAATTGGGTAAGAAAGAAAAAGAGGATATCCAGGCAGTGAGGGAGATCAATTTATCAATGGTCATGGTGACTCTTAATTGAAGTAGTTGCAATATTAGAGGGAATGAACTGGGAAGAGAACAGGTGGTCTGAGAGAGGGATGCATGAAACTCAAACCATGGAATGGTAACTATTGGTAGACACTGGAACGAGACAGGTGCTCAAGGAAGGTGAAAGACATAATCATTGGACTTATTAAGAAACTGAGAAGCCAGTTTGTTGGATCATTTATGTGAACCTTTAGCTTTAATATAAATTAATATAAAAACTAATTAAAACAGATCGCCAGAATCCCACCCTCAGAGTTTCTAAGTAGTGCCTGAGAATTTTTATTTGTTTCCTAGTGATGCTGCTGTTGATGTAGTCCAGGGACCATACTTTGTAACCCACTGATCTAGGTGTATGCTGAAATTGCCAAGTATTAAGATATAAGTAGTTTTGTTGAGTGGTAGCAAGCCAAGAGAAAAAATTGTCAAGAAATAAAAAAGAATGGCCTTGTGAGATTGGTAGAAAACTTCTATCAGGGGCAGTTGGTATGCAGGGGTGGGCAAAAGTAGGTAAATGACCAGCCATTATTACCTAAGAGAGAAATCATAAGGATATGAAATAAAGCAGTAATAAGACAAAAAATACAAATAAATAATTAATAATAATACAAGAATAAACTGTTGCGCATACTCACAACCATAAACCTACCTTGCCAATAATGAGATCTAAATCTGGGAGTTTTTATGGAGAGTAGTTAGGAACTGTGTGGTTGAAACAAATCTAGCAAAACAAGATTAAGGCAACAGTAAAGGCAGACTGTCAAAGACCTTGCAGGTGAGTATTTTATTAGTATCAGGATCTTTTATTTGGTAGGCAGGTCTAGTGTAAATTCCCTTGCTATGGGATTCTCTGGGGGAATTGTTACTTTATTCATCTCAAGAGTGATCACAATTGTACCAATTTGTGTTCTGGTAAAAATAAAACCACACTAATTAGAAAATATTAAGTTCTACAAAGCTGGATATCACTTTACATAATAGGTAGGTTGACATCTGATGGGACAGTAAAGCTTAAATAGTTTGATGGTAAGGCAAAACTGGACTGAGAATATACAGAAAGTAATACAGAATGGAACTGTGAAAATATAAAGTAGAGAGGTGGTCAGGGCACAGAATACAACATGGGATAATCACCTGGGCCCAAATAGTGGTTCTATCTTAAAACTCAAGGGATCCGGCTCTGGCTGGGTAGCTCAGTTGGTTAAGTGTTGTCCCAATAAGCCAAGGTTGCTGGTTCCATTCCCAGGCAGGGCACATACAAGACTCAACCAATTAAAGCATATATAAGTGGAAAAACAAATCCATGTTTCTCTCTCACTTCCTCTCTCAAACCAATACATTAAAAACAAACAAAACTATTGGGACCCTAGCCAAATCATTTGTTAATCATTTGTTTCTGCTGCTTAGTTCCTTACTTGTTAAATGAGTCTATCATTTATGTCATGTGCCTCAAAGGGAATCTGAAGGCTAAATGAGATAATGCCAGTGCTTTGAAAAGGTAAAGTGCTATACAAATATGAAATATTAAAAAAGTATATCGTATTGAGCTATCTTTAGAAATAATGGCAGAAGAAACACTTAGGTGTATAAGATATCTTGAGTGGAAAAGAAACTTATCCAAGGAGAATAATACTGAGGTAAACATAATAAAATATTACCTTCCACTTCCCTCATTATAGCATGTCATTGTACTGCATGCTTAATTGCCTGTCTCAGCTGACCAAACTCTTGTGAAACAGTTAAATACAACCTGGTTCATGAATGTTTCTATCATCTAGCATAGTATCAGGATTGAGGAGGTACACTGTAGATATCTGAGGCATGAGTCGTTAGTGGCAAACCCTTGGTACACACAAATTCAGTGAAAGGTAGCCTAAACAGTTCTCTGCTAGAAGACAGGACATTTGGGTTTTAGAAGGCAAAAAGTAAAAGGCCTGGTGAAATCAAGTGGCCACTTCAAGCTCACTGCTTGATCTGGACATGTAAGATTAGACACTATACATAAGAGATATGCCGTATGACAGAGTAGGAGGAAGTAGCAGTGATGTGAGTAGTCAATGTGTATTCTGAAAACTTTCTGGGGTGAGCATGTGGTTTAAAAAATAAAATCATGTTACTTATAAGAAAAAGTTTTTGGTTAATTTTAATATTGCATGAAAAAGAGAAATTCATAAAGATCACCATTATTGTAGTAGTATCTTTTTAGTCTTCTGCTATGCATATTTTAAATTACCAAATGCTTTTTTGAAAAAAGGTAGTATCAGTTTTGACCACCTATGTTTATTGCAGAAGTAGTGTTAGGCATTACTTCCTATTTCAGAAGAGCAGCAGTCTACAGAGACTGTCTATCACTTAGAAGAGCTGTGACATTTATTAAGCTAAAGCAGTGTGGTCTAAATGGATTCAGAAAATACCAATGGGCTATTTAAAGATGGCAAGATCTGCAAAAAGCCAATGAATAATTATGTCTCCTCTAAATCCTCAATAAAATGGCTCAAGATGATAGATCAATAACCAATCACTTCTATTTGTTTTAGGATATAATATACTTTAAAAGATATTGTATTTACTCATTTTTAGAGAAAGGGGAATGGAGGAAGAGAGGAGAGAAACATCAATTGCTTGCTTCTCACATGCTGATGAGGACCTGGTCCACAACCCAGGCATGTGCCTGGATTGGGAATCAAACCAATGACCTTTTCGTTCGAGGGAGGACACCCAGCCCACTGAGCTACACTGGTCAGGGCAGGACGTAATATAATTTTTAGATCCACTGATGATACTGAGTAATAACCCTGTTTAAATATCCATAGGGTATTTTATTTTGGCAAAGATAGGGTCTAAAAATCACAAAAACAGACAGAATAATGAAGGTCATGGCTCTTTCACTATCCTGGTGTTAAAGATATAAAGATACGTACTTAGAATACTACGAAATATCCCAACATTTACATCAAACACAGGTGTTGTCAGAAAGGTCTTTCTGTGATTTTAGCAAACAGAAACTATCCAAATTTTCTTAACTCCTTTCTTACTATTTCTACTACAGCAAGTTCTAGTTTTCTCAAGGCCCTTTCCCTGACTTTTCTGGAAATTATCGTATTTCCAACCTTCAAATTAAAATGTTATCCTCGCAAGTATATGTACCCGATTGGTATATTCACATACATGCTTTCCATTTTCAGGCTAAGCAAAGATGTGCATTTAGAGCTGTATTAATGTTAGTAAGGCAAAAGACAATCAACCTAGTATCAAGAGAAATTGTGACCTTCCCATGCAGTGTTTGATATAAAAAACACGGATTTTGAAATACTTTTTTTTTTTTAATTCAAATACCATTCTGATTATTCATGGTCCAAGAACATTCAAATAATAAACCAAAAAGAAACAGATGTTAAAGATTGGTCTTCAAACATTATAGCCAATGATGCCACGCTTGCCTATGATCTCGCCGACGTAAAACCACATCCACACCTCAGTGGCCACCAAACCATTCAGCAGAGCTTCCTGAAAAAAAGCAGCATAAATTTTAAGGTGCTTTACTATTACTTTTCAAGATTAAGTGACAGAGAATATAAAGATGTTATTAAAATTAGAGGGTGGTTTTAGTCGAAGAATTACTGATGTTAACTTTCTTCAACTGAGAACACCTGAACTTTCAATTATGTAAGGTACTCTAGAGCTTATAAATTCTTTCAAAGCATTCTTTAGAGATCTGAACTGACTTAACACTTTCGTTTTTAGTTTATAAGACACTTTATGAGCCCCAAAACAACCCACATCCTAGAAATAGCTGACACATTTAGACAGGGCATTCATGTGAAAGGATAGCTATGAGAAGGCAAGTCTCCGAACAGACATTTAGATAAAAGGCTCTGTATTCTCCTTTAGCCATCATTTTTATTTATTATTTACCTTTTGTATTCAGTAATTATTCAGTTTCACAGATCAATGTTTTACTGCCCTGAAGAGAAACATATACGATTCCAGAAAACAGTGTTACATGCAACTGCAAATATGGATCTTGAGACTCTAGTTGAAAAAAATACCTTTCCACAACAAAATTGAGCCTTTTCCCTCTAGCACCTGGAAGTGAATTTTCCCCTTCAAATTAAACCATACTGGAAGTTTTCTGAAAAAAATAACCATATTTTCTAGGACGTAGATTCTTAAGACAGCAATAATTTATTTATTATATTGACTGATTTTAGAGAGAGGAAAGGGGTGGAAGGGGGGAAAGAGAGAGGGAGGGTGTAAAGAAAGAGAGCCACAAAGACAAAGAGACAGTGATTTGCTGTTCTAATTATCTATACATTCAATGGCTGATTCCTCTATGTACCCTAACTGGGGATCAAACCTGTAACCTTAGCGTATTGGGACGATGCTCCAAGTTACCCAGCCAGGGCATTAAGTCAGCAATAATTTAGTTATTTAGGGTTTTTTAATCCTACACTTTAATCATGCAAGCAAACATAAAACACAAGCTCCAAGTCTTTAGATTTTATCTTCACACAATTCAGTAACCTTTCATTTCAGAATATATGCTTGCTGGGTTTTGATATTTTTATCCTTCATATGAATGTTAAGTGCCCAATTGTGATATATTCCAAGAGATCTTTTGACCAAATTGGGCATAGTTCCAGGTCTAGAGATGAAAAAAGGTACAGAATCAGCAAAAGCAAGCCATCCTATATTTCATTTATTTTTAGAGAGGGGGAGGGAGAAATACGGGAAACATCCACATGTGACAGAAACATCCATCAGTTGCCTCTTCCATGCCCCTAAAGGGACCTGGCCTACAACCCAGGCATGTGCTACCTTTTGGTTTGAGGGAGGGCGCCCAACCCACTGACACCAGTCAAAGCCATCCCATTTTAGTATACTAAATAAAATAGGAAGCGGAAAAAAAAAGTTGCCCAATAAATGCTCACTTCTTTGTTATAAGACATATAGAAAAGTAAGATATATAATAGCCTAATCACTCCACAGTCAACAAAAAGATTCTCTCTCTTCATTTCCAGAGTCACTGGAAAATACGTATAGTAATCAAAACAATCAGAAAAACCCCAAGGGAAGACATTTTCTTCTTTGTATATGTTTTTATTTAGCACATAGTTACCTTAACTGTGAGCTGTTTGAAGCTACCAGTTTGAGCACTATTGATTATTTTTTTCAACCTCTGAATAGCTGTTGGGATCTCAGCAGGGGTTGGAGGAATCAGCTCAACCTTGGCATACTGCCAAAATGTGGCCAATCGAGGTTTAGAGTAAGTCACAGCAGCTGGAAAACAAAACAGGATGAACTCATTAGAGACCAAAAGAAGCATATGTGTGGGCTGGACACAAATATTTATTTATGCATCACATTCATTCACTGCTTGTATCAAATGTGCAGCCTGTGTTAAAAGGCCAAGCAGCTCCCTAGTAGCAAGAGGCTTTTAAAGGTGCAGAACACCTGTGTCATAGGGCAGTTCAATTAGGCAGGATACTATAACCGTATACAATTATGCCAGGACTTCACTAGTGGGCATCTAGTACTGTGACTTTATTTGTGAATGAGAAATCTAGTTAACCGTAAAGTTACTAGAAGTTGGAATTAAAAAAAACAAGAAAACAGCAGCAATATAACACTTCCTTGGTGGTGTGATAGAAAATTTGGAAGGAAGAAGCAGAGTAGGGGAGGGAAGGAGCTATGTAGAATGGCATCCTTCGGAAAAGATTAAAATTTGTCACAACATTGGTCACAAATCCAGATGGAATTACACATTAGTATCAATTTTTGGTATCTTCATCAATATGTCCTGGATTAAATCTTTCTTTAACAAGAGCACAGCTGATCCTCCTTCAAAACACCACAAATAATAAAAATAAAACCTACATGTATTAAGAGCAGCCAAAACTTGAAATCTATTACTAAACTGCAATTCCTCAAGGAAAAAAGATTTTAAACAACCAGTGTAGATGTGGAGAGTATGGTAGTGATTGCAGCAAGAGAAAAGCATTTTATTTAAAAAAATTACAAGACAAATATAATAAAAGCACAAATGCATGAACATCCATAAAGTGTCTATGGTTCAAAGACAGATCTAAGGCTTTCCTTATTATTAACTGCCTGTGTTTACTCTTAGAATTACTATTTCCCTCATCCTCTGTGCTTAGGGTTATGGGTAAATCTTTAGGCAGACACAAAGCTCCAAGAAATAGTTATAAATAGAATTATCAATGCCTGAAGATGGGGCTACCAAAAAGTGCAAAGTCTGTACAACTCTCTTTAAATTTAAACTCCAATACACAGATATTTCATCCTTTTAAAAAACCAGTACACTGTACACAAACACTATACTTTAGGAGGTAAGTTACTGGTAGGAAAGAGAAGAAGCAAAAATAAATCCCACGGTACTAGATTAGAGTTGGAGACATTAATATGAGCTCATGTTTAGTTTAATACATGTATATAAATGGATACAGAAAAAATAAATATGCACGTATACACAAGGTTTAGTGTGTACACACATAACCTTGTTCACTAAGAGGGCCTAGAAGTCTAGTAGTGAGGAATATATTCAGTGCCTAGATTTTAGATTCAAAATACCACCGTCCAATAAAAGGAACGATGGCTCCTTGGAGAAATGGCTGAGTCTACGGCAGGGAAAATAAGATGAGTCTGAAGCATCTTGTAGTACCAGCAAGCAAAGGGGTCATGTTCACGGGGTAAAGGTGACAAACTGAAGGAGTTCTCAATGGTCAAGGCTGCAACAATTTGAGAAAAAAAATTAGTAACATACTACTTGAGGTATGAAGTATGAATAAATGTACGAGTCCACACAATAAATGACTGAAAAAATAAATGTGGAAAAGACATATCTTTCTCAGAGAAGAATCCCATTTAGATGTATGTAGGTACTTCCTCTTTCTAGAAGATGGAATCTCTGAAGATGGCCGCTGCTACTCCTCTCTCCCCACCCCCTACATCACGAGCTAGACTTAGTTACTTGCTTCTAAAGAACAGAGTATGGAAAGGGAAAAATAGTAAGTTTACAGTTTAGAAACCTAGCGAACATTACCTTAACAAAGTGATGAAAGTTAATTTCACCAGTGACGTTATATGGATATTACATTTGTCCTGATGTGTGATTAGAGCACTTCACTTTTGTGGTATTCTTTCTCAAAACCTATTGCCAGACTAATCATGAGAAAAACGCCAGACAAGTCTAGATTGGGGAACATCTGTTTAGGATACCTATACAGATACTTACACAGATACCTTAAAACTGCTAAGGTCATGAAAGGTAAGGAAAGACTGGAAAACTCAACCACCAGAGGAGCTAGGGAGATAGGACAACAATGAAATGTGAGAAAACTTGTCAGTTTAAGTTACCTCACTTTGGCGATAAAACGAATACCTTGTTACCCAGAAGACAACTGAAATAATTATCGGCAGACCAGGCTGCAACTCAGGGCTATGACTGACTATTCGGGGTTGTTCTGAAATACAGCGCTCTATCAGTGAAGCTTCAGCTTTTTAAAACATAAAACCGCACGAATGCTAAGCTGTAATAAGGACTAACTACTGTTTCCACACATCCCTTTTCATGCTTACTGGCGAAGAGGTATTAGTCTCTGAAATCCAATACCACCTAAAAATCCCCTCAGAATCTGGCAGGACACAAAACATATTCAACGTTCAAAGAGCCACTCAACGTTAAAAACTTCTGTGCACTTAAAAATACTCTATTAAGAACCAGGCGACCCGATGAGACCGAATTTACGTCCTGTCACACAACTCTGATCTTGCTTTCCTAGCAGAACTGATTCCTCCTAAGGGGCGTAATGGCGGCCACGCCAGGCTTCCAGCACACATCCCCTTGAACTGCGGCCTTCACAGTCCACCACTGCTAGGGTGCACTAAGAACTCACCCTGCAGGCCAGGAGAGCAGAAGCCCAGACAGAGGAGCCGTACACCTGCTTCCAGGTCGTCGTCCCCTCCCCTCACTTCCCCCCTCCGCGCCCCGCCGCCGTCATCACTCCGTCCCCTTCCCAGCTCCCGCAGGCACCGCGGATTCCCACAGCCCGCCTCTTCCTACAGCCCGCGTCTTCCTCAGGCCGTCGTGAGCACCCCGTCTTGCTGTTTACCCGCCCGGGAGGCTGACACTGCGCTCACCATTTACCAGCACTGGGGCCTTCTCTGCGAGGTTACGGACAAATTGAGCCATGGTTGCAGTATGGAAGTTCTGTGGCACTACCGGCCAGCTGAATGTCACCCCTCGGAAGGACCCACCGAAGGACCCCATCCCGCGTCCAAGGTCAGGCCTCCTCATTTTGCGCCGGTCCAAGATATTTAGGTGTCCTAATGTCTTTCCGGAATGTAGCTGGTTAATTTAGTTTCCTCAGCCACGAGGGGAAACTAAGTACGAAAGACGAGATCAGAGTACACCTGGAGAACAATAGGATTCAACAGGGAAACAGGCATTTCTTGGGGGCAGCCGCTCATGGAGGCCCGAAGGGCCGGCGATTGGAGGAAAGGCGCATGCGTCCTGGGCTTCCCCCGTCTCCTCTTGACTGCCAATCTCCACGTTTGCATGCGGTGCTTTCACTCGAGAACGTGGGAAGGTGGGGCGGGGAGGCATCGCTGAACTTTCACTAGGCCAACACGATCGTTTTACGAAAGCAGAGAGGGTCCTAAGACAAACACGTAAAGTTAGGGCAGAGCAGGCGCCGCTCAACCTATCTTTCACCTCAGCCCATTGCCTTTCTTTAGCCCTCCGGGTTTTCCCCTCATCCTATATCAGGATGGGGACCCAATTCTCCTAATTCCCTAACCAGCCACAGGAAACTAGGCGAGTATGAGGAACAAAATCGCATTTACTGAGGCTCCCAGTATGCCAGGCGTTTTGGAATTTAAAGCATGCCCTGACTGGTGTGGCTCAGTGGGTTGGACGTCTGCAAACCGAAAGGCCTCCACTTCCCTGTCAGAATACAAGTCTGGGTTGAGGGCCAGGTCCCCAATTAGGGGCGGGGGAGAGGCAACAGATTGTTTCCCCCCCCCCCTTCTCCTCTCTCTAAAAATAAATAAAGTCTTAAACAAAACAGAAGAAAAAGCAAGCCTGTAAATTAGGTAGTGTTCTCATTTAGGACCAGGTTTGATAAATGGTCGTATAGCTAGTGAATGGCAGAGACGGATCTGAAGTTGCAAGGTAAACAAAGAAGCACAGCAGTATCGGATCAGGCATGTTGCTGACCTGGGGAGACTTCCTAAAGGAGATCCTTGAATTGGTGTGTACCAGAACAGTTATATATTACAGAGTGTAAACTTTTCAGTTAAACATGACTGGAAGAAATTGTGTAGTAGGGAAGTGGCATTTGATGAGAGACACAATGATAAGTAATGTATCCTGGGGAAGCCTGAGCTTAAGTAAAACTTTGGCGTTGATGGAATGGTTAGAGGTGGAAAAACTAGGAGCCAAGGGCAGAATTTCAGTGGAGTGATTCAGCTCCTTTATGTTAAAGAGAAAGTAAGGATGGTAGTTAATTTGGCAATATGGAAACATTAGCTAATTAAAAAAAAAAAAAAAAAAGATAGAAGCCAGAGTGAATGAAGAAATATGACTATAAAGGAAAGCAAGTCAGAAAACCAAACAGGGACATGGACAGATTGAAGATACAAAAGGGGCATTGAAAGGATCCCCGATCAGACACAAAAGAAGGTTGGAGGAATTAGCCTTGGAATGGTGGGGCCTTTTCCACAGATGAGATAACGAGGGAAAAATTTGAAAGTGGAAATTCGAAGTCTGTATCTTTCTAGTGAAATAGAGGCAAGATCATCTGAGTGTGAAGGGTAAATGGGAGGGTGGAAAAGAACTTGAGGGAAGGGGCTGAAGTTTGGAATAGCTGTTGAAGTTAAAGACACAGAAGGGTAGGCCCTGGTTAGGGCATCCTCCCAATATGCAAGGTTGTGGGTTCAATCCCATTAGGGCACATACAAGAATCAACCAATGAATGGATAAGTAAGTGGAACAACAAATTGAGGTTTTTCTCTCCCTTTCACTCTAAAATTAATAAATTTTTAAAAAATTTAAAAAATGATACAGAAGGGTTCTTGGGCAATGTTAGAAAACACAAGTTTGTGGTTGAGTCCTGAAGACTCAAACAGTGGTCTGTAGTTTGGATACTGGAGCACAGGGGAATGGCTGGGTTAATCTAGGCTGAGGTCTTGCGTGGTAGAGGTGCAGGAACAAAGGGCAAGGGGATTATGATAGCAAATGATTAAAATGAAAGACTTGGGGTTTAGGCCAGATAAGGAAAAGTGAAGCCAAAAGTGAAATGATTAGGAGACTCATCTTCCAAAGATGACTACAGCATCCAAAGGTTATCTGGTAAGGCAGGTTAGGTTAGCCAGGTCACAATTTGATACTCGCTAACAAAAATGAAGGTCAGAGTCCTTTAAGTTTCCAGAGGGATTTCTGAAATTGCCACTAGCTGTTAACACTGTGATAAAGGAAGGGATAACAAAGATGGTAAGTTAGGTGTTCATTTATTAAATACAAGCTTTGAACAAACACCCCCAGGCAAGTTTGACAAGAAATAACCTTCCTGGAATGTTTCAAAATACAGTTATGTTGATTGTTTTATTTCAGTCAGTCTTTCTGTTGTTTTGTTCATTTTCTTTGTTTTTGGTTTCTTTTCCTGTTTAGCAGTTAGAGCATGTACATTATTTCCTCATGTCATCAACACTGCAGCATCAGTTTCTGGTTGGTAAAGGCACCTCAGTAAACTTACTCTCTGTGTAACGGCTGCTTAGCAACCAGCATCAAATAAAGTAATGAAGCTTCTGTAGATTGTGATATCAAATAGCAACTGGCACCTTTACCTACACTATTAAAAACCTTTCAAGTTTCTTTCAGGTTTTACATATCCATAAAAAAAAAAACCAACCCACCCAGATTGCTTGATAAAACCTACTTAAGTCCCCAAGTTTAGTATTACACTCTTAGTAAGCAATACTCATGCTGATTAAAGAGTCTTCATTTTCCTATCACACTCCAGCAAAGCCAACACGGAAAATTAGGAATGTCAGAAAGTCTGCTCTAAAAGATTTAGAGCTGTTTCTGAGTTCCAGATAACAAAACACTTCTTTAAGCTTCCAGTGCATATAGGCACTGTGTTGTACCAAAATGATAATTTTTAGCTTAATTTTTGGGATGTTCTTAAATTACTTGGTTTACTTCCCAATAGTGGCCTTAAGTTATACATGAGTTTAAAGACATTCAGCAGCATTAATGGTGCCATAGCTACTTAAAAATTTCAGGACAAGGGCTTAAAAAAAAAAAAAAAGCTTGGCAGAAAAGACAGTCTGAAGAACAAATACAGCAGAATACTGACACAGATACAAACAGAGGTTGTTGACTAGAAAGTTCCTGGGAATGGCTGTCTTCTGAGGTTTTGTGCCTATTTTTCTTCCAATTTTCTCCCCTAAAACTCTGGTCTTTTTCTCAATTCTTTTAAAAATGAAAACATCCTATCATATTGGGTTTGGAAGATAAATGTAAGTAGTTAGAAGCTGATTTTATATACAGTTCATTCTTAGTAAAGAAGGACCAAAAAATATGACATGGAGCTTATTTTAAAGAAATAAACAAATCCTGTCAACGATGCCTTCAGGGCCCAAGAAGCACACTGAGTATCTTACATTCTGGCATTTGGAAGTCTTAGACTTCCCTTTTCATTTATAAGCACAGCAACAGGCAACATCTTTATATCATCTAGTGTGGGATGCCCTCTGAGTGGCAGTTTTCTAGCCAATACCATCAAAAACATATCAAGGGCTGTTGATAAAAATTTGGAATATTATAAAACTGGCATCTTCTTTGAAAGACACCATGGTTAACAATAATGCCTTCTAAATGAAGCAATGGCCCATTTCCAGATCATACTATTTTTCTTGTCACTTACGGTATCTTTGTGCTTAGAGGGACAGTGATATAGACAGTCCATAGAGGATTGTGCCTTACACTTAACATGTTAAGCTGCACATCTGAGTAGAGAACTCAAGCTCAACTTGTAAAAGTGCGGCCTATCCACCTACACAGGGCTAAGTTGATATTTAAAATGGTTTGTGGACAAGGTTGTGCTCAAGTTCCTTCCTTGTTAATTGCTGACATAAGGCTGAGTTAGAGGCAGTTCTTGGAATTCATAAGTCAAAACATGTACCATATATATTTCATAGTCTCAGAATTTTGTCTACAATAAGTGTTAGTGGCAACACACTGCATACATCTTACCATGGAAGAGATGATTTAAAGTGGTACTCAGTTTACACTAGATCAATCTAAAAAAGCACATGGTGTATATATACTTAGATATACTGTTGATATTATTGTCTTAAAATTACATTTTTCCTGTTACAGTATTTGTTGTCCAACTTCTCTACTCAAGCCTAGTTCTTGTAGCAACTGATTTTCATAAGCTAAAGTGGTTTCATCTCAATAGCTTCCTTTATTCTTTCACCTCAGAACTTTTTGAATAGTGTCAAAACTGCAAGGTTTGCCTTGTCAATCCTCCTAAAAATTGTAGGTCTAAGTTTTCTGTAGTAATGACAACCCCATGGGAGAGTGCTTGTTCTCCACTGTATCTCCTAGTTATGAGATAACACAAAACTAAGAGCTATCAACAGAATTGCATCAGATTCCTTTCTTTTTTCATCTCAGCTATCATCTTATTCAAAAGTCTACTCAGACATCAAGATACCTGCTTTTATGTGAAAGGTTATCCTGTAATACTGCAGAGCTGTTAACAAGGAAAAGAGGTGAAGTCTGGGTCATGAAGTCTAGTAAATACCTTGATAACACAGGACTTTCTGATGATATCAGCTGTCACTGAAATACATGATATATACTTAAAGCAGTGTTCACCAAAGATGTTTGAGCAGTTCTTGGAAGAGAACTAGTAAGGTGGCATGAAGTTTTAGTAGTTGAAATTAATATAATTTAAGGTAAAAAGCGGAAGAAGAAAGAATAGGAAGAGAGAACAAAGGGTAAAAATTTGCGATGACTTCTGAACTTGGTGATGCTATAATTATAATTTCCTGCAAGCCAGGAGAACATTGTAAATAAAGGTCTTAGGAATCTTAATTCTCATAATTTGAGCAAGAACAGTTCTCTAATTTAGTAAACAAAGAAAAAAAAAAGCAACAGAACCAAAGAGAAATCACAAACAATTGTTTATCTACACTCTGGGGTTGGTTTTTGGTTTGTTTAGGTCACAGTATTTATTCCAGTTGCTCCTTTTGTTGTTGTTTCCTCTCTGCAAGCCACCGTTGGATTTTTTCTTTTAGTTCTGTGTTTGGCCGGATCTGGTCCATGGTCAGGGGACTACGGTTAAAGGGATCTGTTTGGTCACTGGGACAAAGAGAGAAAGGAAAATGGAGTTATTTCCATTAATTCTAACATCCTAAGCCAAAACTAGCACACCTGGGATCTCAGTGTGAGACTGAAGCTAGGGTGCATTATAAGTCTAAATTTAATACTGAATTGAGGTTAGAAAGGATATGATGAAAAAGAATGTTTCTGGAAGTTTTTTTTTACAGATTATTTAGCTACTTTGTCTATCTGCTTTTTAACAAATTTCATTTTGACATTGTTGTTCAGATGATATTTGACTGTATTTTCCTAAGTCAGAGGTCCTGTACTCTCATGTCAGCATGAAGAGCTGTCTGTAGTTTTAGTGATAGGCTCTCAAAAATACCAGGTATTTTTGCCCTTTTTTTTAATGACAAAATCTTTTATTGCAAAATCATAAGCATGTAATTCTGTGACATAACAATATCACACTCAAGCACCCTATATGACATTTTAGTGAAATGTTCAAATTAAAACTATAAATTATTATACCCATATTATTATCCTACCAACCACTCTCAAGCAGGCATTATTTCTGCCAGACCCTGTAGGATAAGATGTTAAGGGAAAAAGCCTTGTGAACTGACATTTGATTTAGTTAGCTAATTGCTATACAAGTAGATGCAGATTATGGTTTCTGGACAGGTAAGAAAGTCTATAGCATCCTTTAAGGGCTGATATAGCTTCTCTTTTTTATTCTGAGGCCACAATAAAATATAAATTTTCATTCACACTTTAGAAAAGTCATGCATCATCCATATAGTGAATGCTTAGTACCAAAGTACCATAAAGTAGAAAGTCCTTTTTTTACTGATATTTAAAAAAACTGTATTTCCTTAAATTTGGTTCAACTTACATAACTTAATTTTAAATAGGCAGAGTCTCTCAGTAACCATTTCTACATAATGTTGCACAAAAAACAGAGAAAACTCCTGGACACTATGGTTGAGTTCAACAGCAGCAGCAGAACATGTGTTAACCCATATGACGCATACAGTTTAAAATACGAAAAAAAAAAAAAGCAACCCTGCCCTGGCTGGTGCAGCTCAGTGGACTGAGCACCGGTCTGAGAACCAAAGGGTGGCGGGTTCAATTCCCAGTCAGGGCATATGCTTGGGTTGCCGACCAGGTCCCCAGTCAAGGACACACAAGAGGCAACCACACATTGATGTTTCTCTCCCTTGCTTTCTCCCTCTCTTCCCCTCTGTCTAAAAATAAATAATCTTTAAAAAAAAAACCCATTTTTTATATTATTATAAAATTAAAACAATTTCAAGTCCACTTATACTTCAAGTTAATATATTTTATAACATACGTTAATAGATATTATTTCCTTAAGGAAGAAACAGATAAGGTTAGAACCAGCATTTAGCAACAGGGTGTCTTGTTCTGGATGTTTAAATACTTAACAATCAAGTAATATATCTTTACCAATTCCTCCCCAAACATTAATACATCAACAATATGGGCACCTACTGGATGTACTACATTGTAATTAGGAATATGGGAGAAAAAGATGATAGCAAACAATCATATATCTGTACTCTTGAGACTGCTTTTTTTGGGCTGGCTACCTGAGCAAATGTCTGGCAATGGTGGATCTGTCCACAGTGACTCGGGAAGACGGCAGCACCACAGGGTCAGACATCAGTGTGCTCATGATGGGGTCCAGGAACTCATCACAGGCATCTGCATAAGTCTCCTCTTCTTGTTGTTGGAGGTCTGCTAGAGACTGAGCATAAACACCTAGTAGTTGATGTGAATTTAAGAGCAGCTATATTCAAAATGCTCAATGACTAAACCTTAAAGGGTATGTAACCGTAAAAGGCATATATACAGGTAATAACCCTTTACAGTGACAATGACAATTCTCAACTTTATTTTCTAAACAAGCCAAGATGGATATTATAAGAACATTCAGCCCCAATTCTGAAACTTCAATTTGGCTCAGCTGCTAGTAGTCATGACTAAAAATGGGTTGAAAAGAAACACATCACATAATCTTTCTGGCAACAGTCCTGTTGTAAATGTCATAATTCAAAAGGGGATGAGGTGGAGGGTCATCATTTGCATAATTACAAAGTCACTCATGCAGTGTATGTATGAAAAGGTTTCCGGTTTTAGGTACAAAAAGGTATAAGAATTTAAAAGTGCCTTCGACATGTGGTTCTTTCATAACTCTACTTCCTCAGGGCCTTATCTGGCTAAACTGTAGGCAAAGATGATGCCCAACTCAAGAGTAAGTAACTCAATGAAGGGAAGACATATCAAGAAGAGAAGTCGTCCATCTGATGCTATACCATGATACTTCCTTTTTCGTAACTGCTAACAGAGCTCTGTCATTCTCTAGCAAAAGGGATTAGCTAAATACAATATAGTATTTTAATCTTTAAAATGTATGGCTATTCCACCCTGACTGGTGTGGCTTGGGTGTCGACCCACAAACCAAAAGATCACCAGTTCGATTCCCCGTCAGGCCATGTACCCGTGTTTCAGGCCAGGTCCCTGGTTGGGGGTGTGTGAGAGGCAACTGATCAGTTTCTCCCGCTCTTCTCCCTCCCTTCCCCTCTCTAAAGATAAATAAAAATCTTAAAAAAAATTGTATGGCTATTCCCACGTAAACCAACTACCAACCACAAATACAGAGAACAGAGAAAGTCAATAAAAATCAATGACTAAAAACTACTCACCTTGAATTCTATTATAAAAAGTTCTTTTGCATTAGTAATATAGATTTTCAAATCTGTAACACTGCACAAAAGTTTTCATAAAAACAGCCTGCAAAAATCTGTAAATTCTAGCAAAAGCTTCTTAAATTAATTTCCTGTTTTTACCCTCACATTGCAAAATGTAGTTTTAAGAATACAGTAGTTCTAGTTATTGACTAACCAGAAAGAATCATGTTTACATTTTCTCAAGACAATGATTTTAACCCTCAGAAACAGCATAAAAAACAGAAGAGCTGAGTCAACAATGTGATTTTTAAAAAAAGTTTATTTTTGGAGAGAGGGGAAAGGAGAAAGAGAGAAAAGAAACATCAGTTGGCTGCCCCTCGCATGCCCCCCAACTGGGGACCTGGATGGCAACCTAGGCATGTGCCCTGACCAGGAATCGACCAGCGACCTTTCAGTTTGCAGGCTGGTGCCCAATCCACTGAGCCACACCGGCCACGGCAACAATGTGATTTTTATAAAACATGTTAATAAACAAATTATCCTCCTTACCTTGATTCTCTCTGCTAAGTTGCTGAAAGCCACAATCATATTCCCAGGTTTATTTATTTTCTTCAGGACTCGGACTGTCTGTGCAAAGAGAGTTGGGGAATAGGAACGTCCATCCTTGGGCACAGTGGCACAGAAATTCTCCTCATCCCTGGAAGGTCAGCATTGGGAAGAAATGGAGTATCAGAGGAGATAAACGGGTTGAGGAACAAGGGTCCCCTTCACTTAAATGCCATGAATGTTCTTTTCCTATAGAAAGCCTTCTAGTTTTTAGGAAGGAAGTCTATCAAGTATTCTGTGGCCTTTAAAGAATACTCCTTTTCCAAACAACAGTACAGCCAGCAAAGTTTATCTTTCTACAGATGAAGGGAGAATGTTGGAAATTCTAAATGATGCACCACAGATTATATAAAATCTCATTATTTAAAACTTCGGAGATTCTTTCATCGACCAACTAAAAAGGAACGATTTCTTTTCTGTTTCTACACAATTACCAACCAGTCACTCCATGATCAAATACCCAAATTAAAACATTAACATCCCGTCGGGCTTGCCCAATTTAAATCTTAGGTACCCAAGATTTAAGTAGATAGTGCAGATATCTGACACGAGCTGCTGGGGTTTGAAGTCAAATTCACTGAAGTCCTTGACTTTTAAGGCCCCCATCTTGGGGCCAACCAGATGCTGTAGAAAGTAGTTCAGCATGGAGATGATGCGCTCAGCCAGGAAAGGATGCACAAAGAGTGATTTGATCTCTGGAAAAGAAGCCAGTCTGTGAAAACGTAATCCATTAGCAATTTTTTACTTACATCTTTAAGAGTTTTGCTTGGAACTTCTGGGGACTACTATTTTTAAAGTTATGTAAGTAATATATTTTCATTGCAGTAATATTAGAAAATTAAGAAGCAAAAGCAAATAAAATAAAAAAGTTACCAACCAGAAGTAAACACTGTTAACATCTTGCTAATTAATACAGTTGACCTTTGAACAACACAGGTTTGAACTACATGGGTCTACTTATATGCAGATCTTTAAAAATAAATACTACAAATGTATTTTTTCTTTTTTGTTATCTTAATAACATTTTCTTTTTTTACTTTCCTTTATTGAAAGAAGACAGTATATGATACATATAACATACAAAGTATGTGTTAGTTGACTGTATACTATTTATTGGTAAGGCTTGCAGTCAAAAGTAGGCCATTAGTAGTTAAGTTTTGGGAAGTCAAAAATTATATGTAGGTTGCCCTGGCTGGTGTGGCTAAGTGGATTGAGTGTAGGCCTGTGAACCAAAGGGTTCCTGGTTTGATTCGCAGTCTAGGGCACATGCCTGGGTTGTGGGCCAGGTCCCCAGTAGGGGGCACTCAAGAGGCAACCACACATTGATGTTTCTCTCCCTCCCTTCCCCTCTCTAAAATAAATCTTTTAAAAAATTATATGTAGGTTTTCTTTATATTTAAACATATTTTATTTTTAAATGGAGGAAGGGAGGGAGAGAAACATCGATGTGTGAGAGACACATCAATCGATTGCCTCTCCCATACCCCCAACCATGGACCTGGCCCTTAAGCCAGGCATGTGCTGATACAAGGAACCAAACTAGTAACCTTTCGGTTTACAGGTTAGTGCTCCTTCCACTGAGCCACACCTGCCAGGGCTACTGTATTTTGCTGTGTATAATGCATACTCTTTGCCCAAATTTTTGAGGGAAAAATAAGGATACATGTTGTACATGGGTAAAATAATTCTGTGCATAATGAGCACAAAAAATGTGGGTACACAATATACATGGCAAAATGTGGTGTATGTCGGTTTTCAACTGCAGGCAGAGGGTGGGGTTCGTGCCACTAACCCTCATGTTGTACAAAGGTCAACTATACACTTTTTTTTTTTTTTTTTGTGGTATTTTCAAAGAACCTATCACTAATTTTTTTCTGAAACTCTCTACCAGAAATGCAAAACTCTCAACAGAATAATTTCTAGCAGTTCTGCATTTTTGGAAACGTTCTTTCTGGAAGCTTCCATCCATCATTCCAATCTGGGAACTTTCTTTATGTTTCTTATGGGATTCTGCCTTCCTCCTTTTGGGTTTACTCCCTCACTTTGATGCAGTATATCTTTTTGTAGCTTCTCAAGAAAGGGTATGCTAGAAATAAATCTGATACCTTTTCAGCTGAAAATATCCTTACATTTTACCCTCTAACAAAATTGATAGTTTGGCTGGCTATAGGATTCTAGGGTGAAAAGTTATTTCCCATCAGGAATGTGTTCCAGTTTCAAATGTCACTATCGTGAAATTCAAAGACATTTTCTTACTTAAACCATTGTATATGACCTGACTTTTCTCTGGGACCTTCTAAAATCATTTCTTTACCCTGTTTTTCTGAACTGTCACAATGATACAGTGTGGAGGTTTTAAAAATTCCCTGTGTTGGACTCTTGGCTCCTTTCAATTTAGAGGCTTTTAGTTTTGGGGTTTTTTGGTATTATTTTTTTGATAATTTTCTCCCTTCAATTTTCTCTTTTGAGACTTTCCACATTGATCCTTTATTTTCTTATCTTTCTTATTTCTGTCTTTCTGTTCTGCTTTTTAAGTCATTTTTTAATTTTTCAATTACAGTTGACATACAACATTATATTACTTTCACATGTGCAGCCCAGTGACTAGACACTATATAACATACTGCTTATCCTGATACAACTTGTACCCATCTGACACCATATGTAGTTATCAGGATATTATTGACTATATTCTCTATGCTGTACTTTACATCTCCATGACCATTCTGTAATTACCAGCTTGTACTTCTTATACCTTCACATTTTCCCCTAATCCCCCCAGCTCCCCTGCCATCTGGTACCTATCAAAATGTTCTCTGTATCTATGAGTCTGTTTCTGTTCTGCTTGTTCATTTATTTTGTTTAGATTTGGTTGTTAATAGATATGTATTTATTGCGATTTTATTGTTCATATTTTTAAACGTTTTTTTCTTTCCTCCCCCCACAAAAGATTTATTCATTTTTATAGAAGGCAAGGGAGGGAGAAAAAGGGAGAGAAACACATCAATGTGTGGTTGCCTCTCACATGCCCCCAACCAAGGACCTAGCTCACAACCCAGGCAGGTACCCTAGACTGGGAATCAAACCAGTGACCCTTTGGATCACAGGCCGGCACTCAATCCACTGAGCCACACCAGCCAGAACACCTTTAACATTAAGTGTAATACTGGTTTGGTAGTGATGAATTTCTGTAGCTTTCCCTTGTCTGGGAAGGTATTTATCTGTCCTTCAATTCTACATGATAGCTTTGCTGGGTAATCTTGGTTGTGGGTTCTTGCTTTTCATCCCTTTGAATATTTCATGCTGATCCCTTATGGATTAAAAAGTTTCTGTTGAAAAATCAGCTAAGAGTCTCATGGGAGCTTCCTTGTAGGTAACTAACTGCTTTTTTCTTGCTGCTTTTAAGAGTCTCTCTTTGTCTTTAACCTTTGGTATTTTAATTATGATGTAGCACGCTGCAGGCCTCTTCAGGTTCATCTTGTTTGGGACTCTCTGTGCTTCCTGGGCTTGTATGTCTATTTTCTTTACCAGGTTAGGGAAGTTTTCTGTCATTGTATTTTAAAATAGGTTTTCAATTTCTTGCTCTCTCTCTTCATTCTGGCACCAGAATGAGAATGCTAGTATGGCTGAAGTTATCCCAGGGGCTCCTTACACTATCCCCATTTTTTTTTGTGTATGTGTGGGGATTCTTTTTCTTTTTGCTGTTCTGATTGTGTGTTTTTTGCTTCCTTATATTCCAAATTGTTGTTCTGATTCTTGGCTTCATCTGTTCTACTGTTGATTCCCTATAAATTATTCTTCATTTCAATTAGTGTATCCTTGACTTCTGACTGGTTCTTTTTTATGGTTTCCATGTCTTTTTTTATGCTGTCAAAATTCTAAGTTTGTATACTCTTTCCTTAGGCTCATTGAGCATCCTTATAAACAGCGTTTTGAACTCTATTTCTAGATTGCTTGTTTCCATTATGTTTAGTTCTTTTTCTGGAGCTTTATTCTGTTCTTCCTTCCTTTCTTTTTTTTAAAGACTTTATTTATTTTTAGAGAGAGGGGAAGGGAGGAGGAGAGAGAGAGAAACATCGATGTGTGAGAATAACATCGATTAGTTACCTCTCACATGCACCCAGTTGAGGACTTGACCTGCAATCCAGGCATATGCCATGAATGGAAGTTGAACTAGTGACCTTTTACTTTGTGGTATGATGCCCAACCCACTAAGCGATGCCTGTCAGGGCTACTCCATTCTTTCATTTGGGACATGTTTCTATTTGGCAGCCTCCCTGTGTTTGTTTCTATTTATTAGGTAGAGCCGCTACATATCCCAGGTTTGGCAGAGTGGCCTGATGTAGTAGATGTCCTGCAGGGTTTAGTGGCACAGCTGTCCTATTTACCTGAACTGGGCATTCCAGGTATCTCTCCTTGGCCCCGTGTGGGCTCTGTACACCCTCCTGTTGTAGTTGAGCATTGACTGCTGTTGGCATGTCAATGGGAAGGATTTACCCCCAGGCTGATTGGCTAAAATGACTGGGTACCACTGCTATGGAGGATTAGCTGTGCAGGGGCCTACCCCATGGAGGAGGACTTCAGTGGGGCTCTGGTGCCCAATGTGTCCGCCCTGTGAGTGTGTTGCCTGTGGAGGTGGTTCGGTGGTGCTTCGATGTGGTGTGAAGCTGTCTGCTACATAGCATGAGCTATAAAGCAATCTATGAATGGCTGCCACTTTTGCTGGGCTTGGAGGTGCCTAAGAGAGGCCAAGATGTGAACTGAGGCTGGCTGCTGCCAGGGCCGGGGCCATTTAGTGAAAGGTGTGGGGCACACTGAAGCCAGATGCTGCTTGTTTGAGAGCTTTTAGGAGTCTGAAGCATGACCCAAGATAGGGCATGTGTATGGAAAAGCCATTGAAAGTTCCTTGGGTTGGTCCACAAGTAGATGGGATGGGGTCTCAGGGAATCACCTTGGCAAGGAGAACAGTGATAGCCAGGCTGATGGAAACTCAGATATGGTGCCTGCCTGCTAGATGCAGGGGGCAGGGTGGTGGTGGTGGTGGGGGGTGTGTGTGTGTTGTGGGGGAGGGGTGGTGCTCAGTAAAAAACCTATGGCCCCTGTGAGTACTTCTGTCCAGGAGAAAGCTGCCTCTCTTCACTCTGATGCCAGACACTTCAGTTCCTCCCTGTATCCCTGATGCCTTTCATGCTGCTGTTCCAGTGCTGAAACTCAGAGGGAGTCAGTCTGAGTAAGTCCATGCATGAACCCTTCAAGAACTGCCTGGGACTCCAGAAGCCCTGAATCTCACTCAGCCATAATCCCTAACAGTTTTTACAGTAAAAAATTATGGGGAATCCTCAGAGACAAACCCTGGGTGGGGGGTCCTTTGCGGAGCTCGGACCCCTTACTCCTTAGGGGGGGACCTCCATAGCCAAGACATCTCTCCCTCTTTTTATCTGCCACATGTGAGTGTGAGACCAGCCTGTTTGGAGTCTCTGCCTGAAGTGTCATTGGTTCGATTCCCAGTCAGGCAGGGCATATGCCCGGGTTGTGGCCCAGGTCCCTGATTAGGGCACATAAGAGGCAACCAAGCAATGTTTCTCTTGCACCTTGATGTTTCTCTCCCTCTCTCTAAAAGAAAATAAATAAAATCTTTAAAAAAAGTTCCTTAAATTTATCTTTGACTCTTCTGTTGACATGCTATATCTTCTCTTATTCCTCTGAGATTATAAAGATTTTCATTTATCTGTGTTTCGTGTTAGAAGATTTCTTCAAATGTCTGATGATCCTTGGTTGTCATTTTGTGTGTAAGCAACATAAAAGTTATTACGTATTTCATTTTTTAATTATTAATTCTTTTTTTAATTTTTAGAGAGAGGGGAAGGGAGGGAGAGAGGGAGAAAAACATCAATGTGTGGTTGCCTCTTGAGCGCCCCCTACTGGGGCCCTGGCCCGCAACCCAGGAATGTGCTCTGACTGGGAATTGAACTTGCAACCCTTTGGTTTGCAGGCTGACACTCAATCCACTGAGCCGAACCAGCCAGGACCAAATATTTCTTTTTAAATACTAAGTCTTCAGTGTATATTTACTTATAGCACAACTCGATTCATATTGGCCACATTTCAAATGTTTGATAGCTGTATGTGGTAAGTGGCTGCTGAATTGGACAGTGTACCCTTAGAGGAGGTGGAGATTAATGTCTTTGTTTGATCTACTGCATTTAACCAGAGCTCAAGAATATTTTTCAGGTGAAAAATTCTCCTCCTTACCCCCAACATATTTGTATCACTAACTTTGTTCTCAAGAAAAATTATACCCATTTATGCTCTCTGGAAGTTGTGTGAGGTGGCCAATTCCTCATTCCCATGTCAACGATGGGCACCATCATTTTTTTTTTTTTAATCCTCACCTGAGGACATTTCTTCATTGCTTTTAGAGAGAGAGAGAGAGAGAGAGAGAGAGAGAGAGAGATGTCGATGTGAGAGAGAAGCATTGACTGGTTTCCTCCCTTACACACCTGGACTGGTGATTGTATGCATCCAGGCCAGGAATTGAACCTGCACAGGCCAGGGTGGCATCATCATTTTTGAAACTTCTCTAGTGATTCATTTCTCTCTCTGACAGTGGAGGATACTGTCACCAGAGTGTGAGTTTCAGCTGGGCTGATTTACTCATATGAAACAGATCTTGACCACTGTATTTTTTGGCAAAGCAGTGCTTTGTGCCCTTACCTGATGTCAGAAAGGCAAGGGTACCAATTGTTTCATTGGACATGATGTTATGGAAACGTGCCAGCTGTCCAAACATCTGTAGGCCAGCTTCCTTCTCTCGGCGGGCTTCCGGAGTCAGACTTTCCCATTCACCTCGGTCCTTCTCAATCTGTTGAATCTTTATCTTGCTCAAATACTATAGAAACCAGAGGTGGAAAGAATCAGAAAAAAAAAAATTCAGTTGAAGGGAATTATACTTAAGAAGTCTTATTTAAAATTGAGTCCACTATGCTAGGAAAATGAGGGACTATATTAGAGACATAAAGCTTTACTTCTCAGCTAAAAAAAGAAAATTTGGAATAAAAAAAAAGAAATTGTGGCTTCATATGGCTTTGTTTCAGCCTAGGTAGACTTATTGGTATTTCCCCTAGAAATACAATAGCCTATGAAACAGGAAAGAGGATAAATAATGTAAGATGTGAAACCTAGGCAAAAGCAAATAAACTACAGTAAAAAAGGATGAATCCTTCCTGAAAGATGAAAAACAACAAAAAAACCGAAAAAAAATGTTTATCAAAAAACAAGGCTTTATCAAACATGCACTATGTCTAGAAGGAGACCGATATTTAAAAATCCTCTTCCTTGCTGTTGTAGCAAACATGTTAAAACTTACAGCCCCATGAAAATGCCATCTGTGTCATTTTTTGTGTCACATGGCTCTTGCTTAAAAGGATCTGTTTAGACGTGGATGGTGTGGCTCAGTGGATTCAGTGCTGGCCTGCGAACCAAAGGGTTGCTCTTTCAATTCCTAGTCAGAGCACATGCCTGGGTTGCAGGGCAGGTCCCCAGTAGGGGGCACACGAGAGGGCACCACATACTGATGTGTCTGTCTCTTTCTCCCTCCTTTACTCTCTCTAAAAAGGAACAAAATCTTAAAAAGAAAAAGCATCTGTTTATTATACAGCTTATTCTTGTTTTCTAAGAAAAGCTATCTAAAAATCTTATAGGATTATGAAAAAAGAAAGAAACTTTTCTCATAAATTAAATACAAGTTGCTGGGAGATTTGCTAATCACTATGAGGAGCTCATGGCTGTCCAGCAGGCTGCCCTCATGACTTGCCTGGTGCACCTCCCTTTGGGTCGCTGCCCTACATTACAGCTGTTGCAGACAGGGGAATTTTCTATAGGAGCAATAGGCAGCTCCATAAGGAGGGTAAAGGATATGATACATTGAAGGAGCTGAGAGGCACCCACAGTACACTTTGTGAAACTTGTGTTTCAAATACAGCTAAAGATTTGGGAGGCAGTGGGGAGATGAAGAGTATTGACAACTTAGTCTATATATGAAAAAATAATCCAAACCAGAGATTTCTTTTTTCCCCAAGCAGTTGTGTAAATATCATTATCTCTTAGGAGAGAGGGATAAGAATCATTGCCTTAGTGGGCTACTGTTACAGCGTGTTGGGATGGAAGAGGTAGAAATTCATGACCAAATATAAGATGCTGATTTTTTCTGTAGTGTTGGACTAATCAACTCTGCCAGTGTGCCTTAGTTTAACCTTATCACACTTTCTTTTCCACCCTCTGCCAAAGTATCATCCTAACGTGAGGCTTAAATGAACCTTGATCTTGATCTTGATCTTGAATGAACAATACTTCTCAAGCTCTGCAATGGCAAAGTTAACTGTATACTCCCACTGGCAAATTTTTGGTGTCTATCACTGATACTAGAAGCATGATTACTCTATTACGATTAAAAGGTGAAAAGTATGTACTGGTCATGATGTGATGGTATAAGAGCAGTTAATCCGTTGGTTTTATTTATTAATTTATTATTTGTTAATTTAATTTATTTATTTACCTGTATGGCTTCATCCAAAAGGAAGATGGCGTCATTCATTAACAGGTTAAGAAAGCGGAGAAAAAGTGGGGGATTCATGGCTTCTAAATTCTTAGAGGCATAATCAGCCAAATCCTGTAAGTCCCAGTCCAAGAGAAAATCATTTTAGTATTGAGCCACAACTTACTGGGGTTTATCTGAAGCAAAACTCAGATAACACAGTTTTGGTTTCATCGAAAGCTCTCACCTTAATGCTCTCTCGATAGGTATCTGTTTCCCACATGTACCTTAGAATGGGATACATGGGACGGCGGTAATTAAACTTCTGTTCAAATTGATGGGGATCTCCTGGAGTAAGGTAAGAGCAAAAAACCAGTACAGGTGTTGCTATTAGAGAAAGGGTAAGAGCTTTTGTCTATGTGTGGCCATTTTCCTTTATTTTGAATGTGTCAAGGATACTGACAAAGTCTGCCTTGTAAGTTTATAAAGCCCTAGAGTTGTAGCCAAGTGTTTACTTATTTCCTTACTGACAGAACAAAAGGCTACCTTATACAGAAGAGGACAAGGGCCAAGCTGTACAACAAAAGCCAAGGGAGCCCTAGCTGGTGTGGCTCAGTGGATTGACTGCCAGCCTGCAAACCAAAGGGTCGAAGGTTTGATTCCCAGTGTAGGGCACAGGCCTAGGTTGCAGGCCAGGTCCTCAGTAGGGGGTGTGTAAGATGCAACCACACATTGATGTTTCTCTCCCTCTCTTTCTCCCTCCCTTCCCTTCCCTAAAAATAAATAAAGTCTTAAAAAAAAAAAAAAAGCAAGCCAGCCAAGGGAAACAAATGCTTCTACCTCAAATTCGAATATTTATCAGACTTTGAATGAGGCCTCTAAGCTGGCCACTAATGGCAGTGACAGCCATTTACAGAATGACATATTAAGAAATCCCCACATTCTTTATAGATAACATGCCAACCGTATAGCCAAATGGTTCTTGATTACTTTGAAAAAATCAGGCCAGGATATAAAAATCTGAGGCTTATATTGCTTTTGACATATCAAAGGTACCACTAGAGAGAACCAGAGACTGGATCACATAATAAAGGAAGAGCTTGGAATACGGAGTTAGAAGACCTAAGTGTTCCTTCTGCTTCATATAATGCAAGTCTCTTAACCTGTTGCAACTTCCACTTCCTCAGAAATAGGATATTATAATACACTCTACCATTACAATTAAAGGGTTGTTGTAATGGTCATATAATAATTGCAGCAATTTATTGTGCAACTTCTAATGTATTATGAAGATTTACATGCACTACCTCACTCATCACTTCAACACATTTTATACATGAGGAAACCAAGGCTCAGGTGAGCAAGTGACAAAGTCAAAATCCAAATATGGAAAAGCAGTCAACAAAATGTTAAATGTCTTTTTGTAAAGTATATGATTACCTACCTGCTATGCTGTATACCTGAAACTAATATGAAATAATACTGAATGTAAACTGTAATTGAAAAATAAAATTAAAAAAATAGTAAATATATTTATCATTGGATAGTAGGACATTCCCTTTAAAAGGGGCCTTAATAACTGCTTAACATTTTGTTTACTGGTTGAGATGGGGTACTCTCTACTCAAGCATAGCATCTCAGGGTTAGATCTCAAAATCTAGGGGAGAAAGGGAATGTTGCCTGCTGTTACTCTTAATCTAACAATTAGACTGTTAGAGATAGACAGTCTGGATAAAAGAATATCTCAACCAGTACATTGTCTCATTATTCAATATTCTGCAATTTTGAGGCAGAAAAAAATAAGGACTCAAGTTTTAATTGTACAGCCTAATTTGTTTGAGTATGATTTAATCAAGCAATATAACAAAGTTGGTAAGAGTACGTGGGGTTTTTTTAGGTGAGACAGGCCTGAGTCTACCACTTAGTCATATGACAAATAATTTAATCTTTTTGAGGATCCATGTCCTTATATGTAAAATGAGGATAATACAGTAAAGCTTTCCAGATAGTGCCAAATTAATGAGACTATGTTAAAAAAAAGCACTTTGCATCAGGCTGGCACAATAAGTGATGGATGACGACACTTTCCTGATATTCAAATACTGTTCAAGCTATGAAACTCCACAAGTATCAGCTTTTCAGTTCTGGACTGCTTTACCTGTAAACTCAATGTCCACAAAGACCTTGATTAGAGCTTCTGCAAGGTGGGGTGCATAGGGAAAGTTGCAGAACACACGTTTCCGGTGGAACACACTGGATACCAAGGGATTTGGTGTCTGATCCAGATGGGGCATCACTGCTTCCAACACCTCAGCCAGTCTGGCCCTTAAGTGGGGATTCTTCATCCTGCAAATAGGGCAGAAAGCAAGCTGAACTTGTAGATTTTTAAAAAAGATTTTATTTGATGGTAACAACAAAGACTACAGTTTATTGCTTAAACCTGAAATTAATGATGGCCTTTCTATCTAGGCAGAGTAACTAAAGACAGAGAATATGCAAAGAAAACTGAGACTGAGATCAAAAGGCAGCCTGAGCCCGGCTGCTACAAATTGGCTTATTTCAGCTAGGGCAGGCAAGCCAAATTACTGACTTTCCTTATTGATTTGAACCAACAGTGTCCCCTGAACCCCCCATTAATCTTGTCAACAGTTGTATTACATTGTATCTACTTAAGTACAAAAAAAAAAAAATCAGCCCTCATAATAAAATCACATTTTCCAGAATACTATACATAATGTATTCAGAATCACTGACTACTTTTTCTTCATCTTTTCTTCCTTGAACATATAGGTGTTTCATTCTCTTGTTTCTTCCTTTATGCCAGATAAGGGCTGTTTGAAAACTTTCATTATCTTTATCATCATTAATTTCAGTAACTTTAGATTTTCATCTCTCCAAAAACATTGGTGTACACACTGGTGTGGGACCCTGGTTATGCAGTCCTCTCAAGAGTGACTGAAACCTCATTTTTCTTCTTCTTAGGTAAAGCCTGGCTGTTTGTGGATTTCTGAAGATTAGTGTTTGAAGCATTGCTTTTTAAATTTTTATGTAAAATCAACGAAGGAAAATTATAATCAATTCCTTTCTTAGCTAATCTCTTCCTGAGTAATTTTTCTTTCTTTTTAAATTGCTTCTTCATCCACAGCCTTTGGAGAAGTGTCCAGTTCTGATTATACTGTTTGACTGCTGGATATGATGGCTTCTTAGATGGAATATGCTCTCTACAACTTCCTCATGTACTTTCCCAGGTGGCATAAAATAACAATTCAAGAGACTTCACCAAAAAGGTAGCTGTTCATTGTTTCAGCAACTACTTTACTAACAGCTTCAGGTTTAAACTCTATGAAGGAATAGCCTTTACTATATTTCCCAGTGTTTTCCCTTCTGGATAGTCTTAATCTTGTAACAGTGCCAAAGTGGGAGAAATATGCTCAGATGTTGGTTAGGTAAAGCGCTGGAGGTAAGTGGCCCATGTAGATTACTCCAGGAGTAAGTTTTTCTTTTTATTGCTTCTGTTGCTTGGATGTGTGCTGGTGAATCTAAGCCACCATCTCCTTGTGAAACTTGGCGTCCTCCTGCAGTTTTAGCAACAGAATTGGCTTGGCCAGGCCAACAAAGACCACCATGTGAAAAGTGTCCAAGCCAACGAGACAAATTTTTATGAGTATTTTCTCCACAGGTATTCTCTCCAAAGCATTCTATATCACCATCACAGGGGAAAAACAGGATTCTGAAGTTTTAAGTCTGTCAATTTCTGGGGAATAATGCAAGGGATGCCATTCAGTTTTTGAGGTCACTGCTTACCAAGAATAAGGGTGAGTAGTTTAGTTTGTATTTAATTTTTAGCCATTCTGTGTACTTTTCTATGAAAAGACATTCTTTATTGCTTACTATTTTCTTTTTCACCTGGGATAAACTTGATTTTCCCAGCTCTCTGAAATCAAGGGCCAGGATATAATTTTTTTACATTACGTACAATGCCTACTATGTGTGTCTAAAATACTTGCTGACTTATGTTTTCTCATTAGACCTGCTCAGCTCAGTGAAGGTTTGGCTTTTACCTACTTCTCACTGACATGGCTCTGGGGACTGTGGATCATTCTTTTCTTTGTGTAGCAAATCTTCATTTACATACACATTTTTTGTTTCCTTTGGTCTAGGCACCAAAAAAATCAGAGAAGTATCTCTAGAGGTCAATGAATATCTTCCTTTGGGAAAGAGGACTAGGAGCTAGGAATGAGAAAGACTTGAAATTATAAATTGTTTACATAAGTTTACTGTCCATCCAGCTCAAGATTTCAAGAGCAAACTGTATCATATAATTATTAAAAGATCATTAGCACCTAGCTGCCACTGGTAAGGCTTCTGCATTTAAGGTAACCAATTTAAACAGGGACTAGCAATGTAATTCCTCTCAGGTACCTTACGGACAAATTCAAATCCTCTGTGGGCAAGTAGTTTGCCTCTCAAAATGGGATTTTTTTGGCTGCCCATTAGGATGGTCAGGTGATCCATTAATGCTAACACAACTTCTGAAGGCAACCCCTTGTAAGTCAGACTTGTTTATTTCTTGGTTTAGAAGTGTTCTGAATGTTTTGCAGCTCTAAACAGTGATAGTCAAGCTTTCAACACTTCACCTTTCTACGCTTCCAGTGAAAATGGTGATAAAGTGAAGGATGTGTTCCAGAGAATCTGCTGATGTCTCTAAGATGTCATCAGCAAAGCGGCGGAGGAAAATGAGGAAATCACCCAGGTTATCTGCAAAAAATTCTGAAAAAAAAATTTCATTGGAATTAGCCAAATATGCAACCCTTTATATTTACAAATTTTACACTGGTTAACAAAACCCAGATGTTTTGTAGGTACTAGGAATGGTGATTAACTTAATAAATGTAGAATCTCCCTTAAATGTGTCCATTTTTATCTTTATCCAAGTAAATATAAGAGCAGTAGAAACACAAAAATATTGTTAATATACCAGAGCAGTTTAAGAAAGTATACTGATAAAATATTTTTTCCACAGTCAAGGTTAACTGTGTACTAAATAACCCTTTAGATGTATGAAGAATCTTGAATAAAAGATTCATTAGGTGACTATGCCCACCAGTCGAGGATGGCCCTCACCTCCTGGTATTTATGCCCTTGTGTGTACCTCCTACACTCTTCCAGAGTACAAGATATACCCTGAGGCCCTGGCTGGTGTGGCTCAGGGGATCGAGAGCCAGACTGAGAACCAAAAAGTTGCCAGTCAATTCCCAGTCAGGGCACATGCCTGGGTTGCAGTCCGGGTCCCTTGTGGGGGGCAAGCAAGAGGCAACCAAACATTGATGCTTCTCTCCCTCTCTTTCTCCCTCCCTTCCCCTCTCTCTAAAAGTAAATAAATAAAATCTTAAAAAAAAATATACCCTGAGGCATACAGAAACTATGGTATATCATTTCCATGATTAGGTTATGAAAGCCAACAGTTTCCATTTTGGTCATTTACTTTGGGGGAAGCCAGCTTCCATATCATGAGTAGTACCAAGGTGGAACCTGTATGGTCTAGAAATTAGGCCAGCAAGCAACTGAGGTCTGCCAACAGCCACATGACTAGGCCTGTAAGCAGATCCTTCAGTTCTGCTCAAGTCTTCAGATTCCTATGGCCCTGACTGTAACCTCATGAGAGACCCAGAGTCGGAACCATGCAACTAAGCCACTCCTGGATTCTTGACCCCATAGATACTGTGAGACAATGTTGGTTGTTTTAAAGTTTCTGTATGTTGGGGTAATTTGTTACTCGAATTACAGTGTATTACAAAGTAATACAGTGATCAAGAACATATTTGATTTTGATGGACAATACCTGTCAACCACTCACTGACATATATACACATATAATCTCCATTCTGGGTTAACCAACAGATGATTCCCCCCGCCCGCCCCCTGGCCAAATAATAGCACAGGGTGAGTTAGATAAGTTTCCAAGTTAAACAACAAGCAATATTAATGATAGAACCTAACAGCTCTGAAAACCCTGGTGGCCCTTAGTCCTTTGAAGACTGTTTTCTTATATATATAGCAGTGAGGACACAAGGCTGAGTACAAAGCTGTCAGTTCCCCTATGTTCTCACCAGTAGATATTTATTTGCAAGTAGGAGTAGCTTGTCCAAAAACAGTTAAATAATAACTATGGAAGGGTATTTTGAGGACTGACTTCCAAACTGACCCAGTTAAACTCAGATGGCTATAAACAGGGAATTCCTGAGGGAGACCTTGCTTACCTGGCACATAAGCCAAAGAGCTGTAGCCATCTGGCAGTGGAAAAGTCAGCTCGATCAGCTGTGAGCCCTCATTGCCCAGAGCCAGCTGAACTAGTAGGACAGCCATGGACACCTGCAAATTCAGGCAGTTTTGCAGCATCTGTGGCTCAGTCATGGCAGTCTTGGTAGAAAGATAGATGGTCATCAGTCGTTCAAACTGCTCTCGGAGGTTGTCAGTAGCAGGGCTAGAACTTTGCTGAGCATCCCGCCAAGCAATCTGCAGCCGATGCAGATTTTGATTGATTTTTACCATCTGATCATGCAACCTGCCTCCAAGAAAGCAGAAGAGATAGGGTCAGGAGGTTCATATAGGAATAGTCGAGTACAGATCATTCTAGAAATACAAATCCTCATTTTTTTTATTCTAATAACTCTTTTAGGATGTAGGGAGCTGCAATTGTGACAATAAAGAAGGTATTCCAGAAAGTTATTGATAAGACAGAGGTGGGGAATGGGGGAGAGGAGGGCATAGCATTGGAAAAATGTTACCAAGTATTTAACATAATTAAAGGTTAATTACAAATAATTAGCAGCCTCCAAAGACCAGTAGCTTGGTTAAGCAGGGTGTACACTGGGCTGTTATTAAGTTAAATAAGTAACTATTAAGCAAAGTACAAGAAGCCCAGCAGGAGAGTCTGACAACACACAAGTGCAGTGATTGTACTTAGATGTGGTTATATGAACAGTCTACCCATGGTTAGAAGAGAACTAAAAAGTGAAAAAGAACTCTACATTAGTAATGACCACATATAAACAAGTTGCTATGTAGGATGCTATCTAAAAGCTGTGGCTTCCGGCCTTCTGTTGTTCAATATTAAATTATTTTTCACAGAGTCAGCTAAATGTTCTCTAGTGAAAGGAAGACTCATAATTCAATGTTATAGAGAGTTTTCTCTGTGCTTACAGTCCAAAATCATCTTCTTTGGTCCTGTACATAATGTCTGGGGTAGGTAGTCTACATTGTGAAACTAGATGACATTCATTTTTGTGTTTGAATTTAGGTGGTTGAACAGGTCAAACACATACTGAATTGTTATCTATTGTCTCATTTAAAACATCACTGACAGGGATAAAAAAACTCTGTAATAAAGATTTAATTTCATTTTTCCATAAATTTGAAAAATGTTCTGTGTCCACGTAAGTATCCTAAGAAGGTATTATAAATTGCTATCCTCAATATTCCTACCTACAGAATATAACTATGAGTGAGTAGCTATTTTCTCTCCTTATTTATATTTGTGGCCACAATCACCTGAATCGGAGGGAAATAAAAAAAAAAATCCTAGAATGACTATAGCTAGCAAGAACCAGGATTATTTTTTAAAGTCATACACTCTAATTCTCAAATCTTCGTATTTCTAGACTCCTCTTTATCTCTGAAACAAGCATCTTTTGTGGTCCTACTTATCTTATTGGAATCCCTTATGAACATTTCTTTAATTTTATCAATTTTGTCTCTATATCATGGAATGAAGCTTGGTCTTTTTTCATCAGGATTAATAAGTAACAAATATTCAAGAGCAGAAAGTGAAATATGAAATGAAAACAATTCCACTTTCACAGATGACAACAGGAAGATAGTGATTTAAAAATCTGCAAGTTTAGAGAAAAATATGAGTGTATCTTTAATTTTAAAATGCTTAACAGGTCAATAATTAAAAAATAAATTCAAGTTATTTGGACAAAGCCAATTCAGGTAAACACATATACATGCATATAATGCCCTTTTCTTACTAGATTCCAATGTGAGCCTACAGAAGAAAGTGAGATTGTATTAAGACTCACATTGAACTTTCTGGTTATCAATATAACTAAACAGTTCTTTCCTAATGACATCAGAAGAGTTACCTGTGAAATCCCAAGTATAAGGTATACTCTGTCAGGACAAGGTTCTCTGTTACAAGGTTGTAGTTCTGGGGAAACTTCGGCTCCTGTACAGCTGGGATCAAACAGGTTTCTTTGTCCAAACCTCAGAGAAGTTAAAAGTAACAGTAAATGGCTATCCAACAACAACTATCCTGGTCTCCAGGGTCTCTTTACTCTATCTAGTTCAACTTCCATACTGCTACCAGTGATTTCTTCTTCTTCTTCTTTTATTTTTTAGCAGTATCTTCTTATCACATTACTATTCCTTGCCTAAAAATATCTTTTGGCTTCTCATTATCTATAAAAATGCAGTTAATTCTTTAGCTTGATCATGAAATCATCAAAAATTAAAAGAAATGATAGATTACTGTCAATTTTTCAAATGTTAGACAATGAATCATTTGTATCTATTTTGTGCTTTTCTGCATTTAAGGTTATTTGATTCTGAACATATATTACTTCTATAAATAAAAGTTATAAAACTGGGAGGAAATATGTATACCAAAATTAAGTGGGATCCATTCTGAGAGGTAGAATTATGAGTGATTTATTTTCTGTTCACTTCTCTGTATTGTTCGAGTTTTCTCTAAACTGGCCCCAATCTTCTGCCTCCCCAGACTCATTTCCTGCCATTCCCATACCTTTCCCTTCCCCCATCCACTCCTTGCTTTAGCCCCAATGACCTTTTCACTATTACTTAGTCAAGCCTTTTGATGGCTTTGTACCTTCATACTTGTTATTCCCTCTGTATAAAAGGATTCTTTTGCTCCTTTGCCTGATAAACCTATCTCATCTCTCATGGCTCAGCTATGAAGACCTCCATCTTCTGCAGAATTTATTTCTTACTCCTTTCTCTGTATTCCCATAGTTTAGCCCTATATCATATTATGATTATCTGTTAATATATCTGCCTTTTTTCTGGAGATTTTGAATTTATAAATGACAAGGACTGTGCTTTATTCATTTTTAAAAGAATGAATGAATACCCAAGGCTGCCAAATTCAAAGAGAAGGTCTCTCTAAAGCACAACATCTAAAAGCTACCAGTTTTATTTTTAAAAGTGTGTCCTTGTAAAATTTATAATAGTTCTTCTGTCTGTCCCATCTTGTTTGAGAAAGAGGCACCTTCGTGAGAAAGAGTATGGACATGAGTGCCTTAGATTTCTCTCTCTCTCTCTCACACACACACACACACACACACACACACTCTCTCTCTCTCTCTCTCTCACACACACACACACACACACACTCTCTCTCTCTCTCTCTCTCTCTCTCTCTTTTGGGAAGCCCAGTACTCCTCTACCACACACACACTCTCTCTCTCTCTCTCTCTCTCTCACCCACACACTCTTTTGGGAAGCCCAGTACTCCTCTACCACACACACACACACTTTTGGGAAGCCGAGTACTCCCCTACCTCTCTCACTCACTCTCTCTCTCTCTCTCTCTCTCTCTCTCTCTCTCTCTCTCACACACACACACACACACACACACACACACACACACACACACTTTTGGGAAGCCCAGTACTCCCCTACCTCTCTCTCTCTCTCTCTCTCTCTCTCTCTCTCTCACACACACACACACACACACACACACACACTTTTGGGAAGCCCAGTACTCCCCTACCTCTCATGTGTACATTTTTAATTTTTCGTTCTTCATCATTCAACTCCTTCAGGGCACAGTAAGTGGGATTAAAGGTGAGGAGCCGAGAGGATCTGGGTTTGCAAAATGGCTGGCACAGCTTCAGGAGAGCAGCACCCAGATTCAGAAAGAAGGCATCCGAGGCATACATTTGGAAGAAGATTTCTGGCATCTGATTGGCCCAAATCTTGGTGCGGCCTGCATTTGCATGCAAACAGTTTCCAAGCCACGACAAGATACAGTGTTTGGTTTCTGGAGAGAGCTGGAGTAAATTCTTCAGGATCTGGTAGATCTTTTCATGGAACTGAGCCATGAACTGTTTAACCAGAAAACATAACCACAGAACATTCCAGTTTCACAATTCTAATATCTGTTACTCCCAAACCTTAGCTACTGGCCATTTCTAAAAATATGCCAATCCTAATCATTTTCCTCACTTTCCTTGTGCCTTACCACAAGTTCTGATTAAAAAAACTTTTTTCTGGGCACCTATGATTTTTTGATAAGCTGCCAAACTGCAGATAGCATTTAGAGTAGGGTCAGTGATCTTTTTCTGCAAAGGGTCAAATGATAGTATTTTTGGCTTTGCATGCCATATGGTCTCTGCAGCAACTATTCAACTATACCATTATGGCATGAAATCAGGTCATAAACAACAAATATGCAAATGTTCATGGCTGTGTTCAATAAAACTATTTACAAAAACAGGTGGCAGGAAGGATCTGGCTATTGCTGTTATTTGTAAACCTGTGCTTTAGCTGGTTTAGATGAGGGGAGACTTAAACTACCCCCAATTCAACCATTTACTCCCTCCTGTTGGCCAGACTTCTACTATAATATATGCAAAGAAGCCCAAATAGAGAGTATATAGGAAGCAGGGAAAGGGGAAAATTGATTTATAGGCTGGAGTTCAGTCAGAAGATTTAGGAGCTAAAGTGGCAAGAAACAGACAGGTTGGTGAGAAAAACAAGGGTTGAAAGAAGAGGCTGTGCTACAGCATAGGACAAAGAAGAGCAGCAGCTTATTCTTTAAACCGTACTAAGGTTTACCCTTGGCTCTTAGCACATGCTATAAAGCAGGCAACTTTTTTACGTGATTATAGTAGAAAGCCAACCAGATCAACCTGCTTTCCTAAAGAGGCTCAGGCAGCCTTGTCTGCATCTGCTTCCTGAGGAAACTACTTAATCTAAGATGAGGGGGCTGGGATAGACCATAAACAGTTCCACCTGATGGATGTTGGCTTCTTGTACTTTGATCTCCTGAGGACTGGAACGAGATGGATTTGAGAAATAGCCATGATTTTCTACTACACCCGGAGTCTTTAACAAGCAGGAGATATTCAGGATTACTCCCAGCAAGGTCTTCTGGTACATCTGCCCACTGTTAAGATCCTTGGGCTGAATGTATTCTACAAAAACCTGTAGGAGAAGGTAAGTCCTACTTATTTGTATGATGAGACACCATATTTTGCTTTGTATAATGTGCACCATGTTATTGGATCAAACTTTTAGGAAAAGAAATCATTTAAATTAAAAAAAATGTTTTTTAAATTTATTTTTAATGAGGGGAAGGTAGGGAGAAAGAGCGGGAGAGAAACATCAATGTGTGGTTGCCTCTTGAGTGCACCCTAATGGGGACCTGGCCCACAACCCAGGCATGTGCCCTGACTGTGGATTGAACTGTTCCCTTGGTTCACAGGCTGGCCCTCAATCCACTGAGCCACGCCAGCCAGGGCCATTTTAATTTTTTAATTCAATTATTTTTTTATATTTAGAAACAGAACTGATTAGCTTATTCCAGAGTATTATTTTGCATACAGATATCATTATTGCTTTCTAGAGTTACACTTTTAACATATAAGCATAAATAAAAGAATTAAAATTATTTATATAGATATGGAATTAGTACTACCCATGTGTAATGCACATCCTTATTTTTCCCTCACAAATTTGAGCATTATACATGGCAAAACATGGTAACTGTGAAGGGGTGAGTGGGCCTCAAAGAATTAAGTCTACATAACAACCAAAACATTTTTTTTCTCTTATTCAGTAGGTGATATTATAATGCCCTCAGGATAGGGAAGCAAAAATTATTAAATCTCCAGCTTAACTATTTATATACCACCTTTCAGACTTACCTTTGCCATATCCTTTTGCCTAGTGAAATAGAGAAGAATATCCAGATATGCATACAACAGGATCTGGCAGAGTTCTAGATCTTTTATTCGGCCCAAAAAAATATCAAACACTGGAATCATGACCTCTGGAAATGTTCGAACTTCCTCATCCAATATCAAGGCTTCAATGACCTCTTCCAGAAACTCAGTTACATCTCCAAAATCTAACAAAAGGCAAGTGAGAGAGAAAGGAGGTCATAGGAATTTTTATATACACTTCTGGTACTTTTGATAATTCTACTAATATTCAATCTCAAAGGTAAAGGTGTGAACTCTCTTCCTTAATTTTTACTGGAACCATAGTGACTCTGAGGCTTTCCAATGCATTTAGAGGAATTTTAAATTTGGAAATCAGAATGTAGAAGCTCACAGATCTTGCTTATGTACTCACGGGCTCCTTGGATGGCTTCCAACATCAAATCTACCAGTTGCTCATGGATGTTTTGGTCAACATATATCTCTGGGGTGAGAAGAACTGTTCGTGTATTGGACACAGTGAGGTTCCTGCACTGTACCGCAAAGGGTAGCAGGTTCTCTGGAACTTTGGTAATCTGGAAAGAGGATAAAGAGAGAGAAGAGTCTAGTTCTGGAATAAGGGTGGACATAGCAAAGAGAATGGAAAAGATGCTGTGTTCTAAAACAATATTGCTCTCCCTTGGATGCTTGAAAATTCATGAGAATTCATTCTTTGGTTTAAGTAATCTCCTACCTGTTAGAATTCCAATCCTGGAAATAACCAAGCTTGGTCTACTCTATTATTTACACCTCAGGGGAAATGAATTTATCAGACCTTTTTTAGTGTGTGATTTTTTATTTTATTTTTTTAAAGATTTTATTTATTTATTTTTAGAGAGGGGAAGGGAGGGAGAAAGAGAGGGAGAGAAACATCAATGTGTGATTGCATTTCACACGCCCCCTGCTGAGGACCTGGCCTGCAACCCAGGCATGTGCCCTACTCTGGGAAATAGAACTATCAACCCTTTGGCTCGCAGGCGGGCACTCAATCCACTGAGTCACACCAGCTAGGGCTTGTGTGATTTTTAAAAGAGGTTTGCAGAGAGAATAAGAAGCACTGGTTCACTGGGGAAAGGAGTGGATTCCAAGTCACAGAAAGAAAACTAAAATTTTAAAGGCCAACTAATAGTGGCTAATATCTAGTTACAGATATACTATGATGTGTATAAACTGATATAAAAGACATTGATCCAGCTTTTTGGCTTACATGTTAAAGTCATACCCAAAAAGACAATATAGTACTCAGTGGGACTTATTAATATTATTACCTCTTCCTTGGCTCTTTGGAAGCAGGAATAAAGATAGCAAAAAATGTGCCTCTCCCCTGCATCTCGATCAGCAGAGAGATTTAATGTTGTAGAAGAAGTCATGTTAATTAAGTGGTTGCCTGGATCTTGAAGTAATAAGCGAGCAAAGACAGCCTGTTAAGAAAAACAAATAAACAAAAATACTAAACCACTGCAAAGTTAACTGTAGGCCGTCGAGATGTAAAAGTAATTCTGACACAGGTTACTGCAAGTCACAGGATATAGAGTAAAAGGGAAAATAGAACTCAATGTCTTATTACTTTAGAAAATATATATGCAATTTAATTGTGTATATTTAAAGTTATCCTAAACCAAGCTGAAGTGTATAGCCCCTAGCACAGAATAAACATTAAAACAGTATTCGTTGAAGGGTATAGAGAATCAGTGTTTAAACTTACATGAAATCTACTATTCTGTGTGATTGCTGATCTCATTCAGACTTTATTATAAAGGTAGCTTATGTTTATTTTGTGGTTATTTCTTTTTTTTGTCTTTGGACATTTTTGAAATGAAATATTTTATTGTTGTTCTATTACAGTTGTCCCAATTTTCCCGCGTTTGTTCTCCTCCATTCAGCACCACCCCCTAGTCAATCCCCACCCTGTTGTCCATATTCATAGGTCATCATACATGTTCCTTGACTAGTCCCTTCCTCTTCTTTCCAACCTATCTCCCTCCCTCCTTCCTCCTCCCCTCTGGTTGTTGTCAGTCTGTTCCTTGTTTTCATGCCCCTGGTATTATAAAGGTAATTTAAACATATCAAGTTAAACTACAAGTTGTCAAGTGCCTTCCCTACCAAACTTTTATTCCCTTAATGTTAATTAGGCAGCTATAAGGTAAAATGCCTGTTTGGATTTTGGAAAAGATATAAGGAAGAAAGACGTAAGATGACATTTTAACTGGTCTTAATGGGTAGATCTGGACATGTGTCCACAGTCAATAAGATTCCAAAAGAGGAACACCACAAGCAATAGAAGAGATGGAGGTAAGCAAAGTAATGGTGGGAAAGGTGAGCAGAGTTCAACTGTATGGCTAAATTTTTGTTGAAGGCACACATAAAGAATATATGAATGTTACCTGCTCAACATTGTTCATATCGAGCCAGTCTTGATCTTCGAGGTCTACTGCCATTTCTTCCAAATATACACAGCGGCTGGGGATACCATTCCCACTTTTCAAGCTTGGGTCACCTGGGAAATGGTTTTAATCTGGTAGGTTAAGGATAATGCTTCCGTTTTATAGAGACAACTGATCTTGACAGCACTTCTCTTGAACTCCAAGTCTGACTCAAGTAATAGCAGAATGACCTTGACTTATAAGGCAGTATCTAGAGATTTCAATCTCTGCCACCCCCGCCCCCAATTAAAGAGCATAGGCTTGTTATAAACCTAACATCATGGCATTTTTTAAAGAGTAAATCTCAGACATTAGCACTAACTTTGGGATTAACAATAGATAAGGCACAGATGAAAAACACTGTCTCATACCTCTTGGGGCTTCCGTCTAAATGTTTAAGACACCCCTGAGAAGAAAAATGGACTCATTTCCATTTCCTCTTTAAGGTAGTAAAGGCAAATAGCTATACAGCCCAGTCAGTATCAAAATGGGAATAAAAGTTCCATCTAACTACTGATTTTAGGTTATATCAAAGCTTCATTGAACTATAAGCCCTGTGTTCCAGGGAGTACAGTGGTTTTGCTCAACCATTAGATACAACAGATTTCTCAGAGCAAGTCCCTAGCCCAAGCAGGAAAGGCTGAGTAATGAATAGACTGGCTGCAAGTCTGTAACTCACTATTGTCCAGAGTAATGAGGAAGATCCTTTGGATCATGTGATTGATGTTGAGTTGCTCACATATTTCCTGCTGTGAACGGAATGAGTGGCTAATCTCAGCCACAGAGTAATCAAATTCATCCAGGCTCTCTGACACACTATTATCTGAGTCATCCGGGCTTGCTGGGAGTTCATCTGCCAAGAAATGTAAGCGATTAACAGTTATACTCCTCTTTTTTAAGACTACCATGCATATTACCAAAAATAATAAATATAACCAGGAGAAGGATAATTTTGCATGTGAAACAAGTTAATCAGCTAATTAGTGAACATCTCAAATTAGGTGACATTAAAAAAATTGAGATATAATATTTAGTTTCAGGTGTATAACATAAGATTTGATATCTGTATAAATTGTGAAATAATCACCAAACTAAGTCTAGTTAACATGTCACCATACATAATTGCAAAATTTTTTCTTTTGATGAAAACTTTTAAGATCTACTCTATTAGCAACTTTCAAATATGGAATACAGTATTATTAACTGTAGTCACCATGCTATACACTTACATCCCCATGGACTTACTTATTTTGTAACTGAAAGTTCACACCTTCTGACCCCCTTTCACCCATTACACTCACCCTCAAACCCCACCTCTTCTCTGTACCTATGAGCTCTTTTTTTCCTTTTAAATATTTTTATTTATCAATTTTAGAGAGAGGAAGGGGGAGAGGGGAGGAAGGAGTGGGGGGGGAGAGAGAGAGAGAGAAAAAAAAAACACTGATTTGTTGTTTCACTTATTTATACATTTATTGGTTACTTCTTGTATGTGTCCTGACCGGGGATTAAATGCACAACATTGGCATATTGGGACAATGATCTAACCAACTAAGCGACCTGGCCAGGGCTTTTAAACATTTCACACATAAGTGAGATCATACAATATTTGTCTGTCTGACTTATTTCACTTAACATAATACCCTCAAGGTCCATGCATGTTGTCACAAATGACAAGATTTTCTTTTTTTATGGTTGAATAGCATTCCATTTTATGTATATATCACATTTTCTTTATCCGTACCTCTGTTGAAGGACAGTGAGGTTGTTTCCATACCTTGGTGTTTGAAAATAATACTGCAATGAACATGAGGGTGCATGTATCTTTTTGAGTTAGTGTTTGATGTTTTCTTCGGATAAGTACCCAGAAGAGGAATTGTTGAGTCATATAATAGTCCTATTTTTAATTTTTCGAGGTATCTTCATACTGTTTTTCATAGTGGCTGCACCAATCTGCATTCCCACTAACAGTGCAAAAGAGTTCCCTTTTCTTCACATCATCACTACTTGTTATTTCTTGTCTTTTTGATAACAACCATTCTAGCAGGTGTGAGGTGATAATCACATTGTGGTTTTAATTTGCAGTTTCCTGATGATTAATGATGTTGACTGCCTTTTTTGTATATTTATTGGTCATCTGTACTATTCAGATCCTCTGCTTACTTTTTAATTTGATTATTTGTTTTTTTGTTTGTTTTTGTTTTGCTATTGAGTTGTATTAGGCAATATCTTGAATACAGGACTCTGAAGTTCTTGACCAAATGGCCTACTACATTTTACAAATCAAAAGATAAAAAAAAGTTTTATTCTTTCTACTCCTAATTAATTGTACCCCACACTGCCAAAATTAGCAACATGATTTTCCCTACAGAATCCTAGTGAACAAAAAATTACCTAATAGATCAATATGCCTTTAATTATTTTAAATATATGGACTTCTCCTGATTTTAAGAGAACACATTTGTTTTATTTACTTTTATTTTACTTTTAGTATTACATATTATTAAATATCTACATGCCACAAAATTCTTATTGCAAATTACCCAAGAAATGCAAAATCACTAAATAGCTGGCTTTCTACACCGTAGTTTGGTTGAGAAACTCTTATAGGGAAAGAGAAGGTATCTAATAAGCACTTACTTCAGTACACACTACACTGAACATCTGTAAGAACAAGAAGAAAATCTATTAACTCTGAAGGCTGTTTTATATCTTGTTCATAGATTTCTTCAAAATGAATACTTTAAAAATAAATATGATTATTCAGATTTGTTTGGTGATGCCTAAGCTTCAGAAAGTTTGTGAAGAAATCATATAGAAAAGCAATCACTTCAATGCAATTAAATGCTAATTTTTAAAAAGTCCCCTTTAACACAGTGGTTCTCAAACTTTAGCATATATCAACATATCTGGGGATGAGGGAGCTGCTTTTTAAGTTATAGGCTGTTGGCCCACTTGCGGAGTTTGACAAGTTTCTAGGTAATGCTGATGGTGTTGGTCTAGGCACAACACTTGAAGAATCACTGTTTTAAGATATATTCTCCAGAATTCACATTAATAAGCAATGCCCATACACCTTTTCTTTTTCTAATAGTAAATAAAGAAAAGAACATTTCATATATGGTCCCATCAAACTTTAAATTTCCAGGCTTTTGAAATGTCCTATTTAAATAGAATATATAATTCCCATGAATTCAAAAGACAGAACCATAGGATAGTCCAGTACTGGATAATCTGTGACTATATGAAAATATTTATATATAAAATACAAAACTTAGGGTACAGGGATCTTGCTTCTATCTCATCCATGCTTATTTTTAGAAAATCCGACACAAGGTCATGAAGAATGAGAACATGACCTATCATGAATGTACACATAAATGTCACAGTGTATTGTCATACTTAAGATTCAGATTCAGGAACCTCTTTATCAGGGCAGCACTAATAGTCCACATAACATATCTGTCCATCTTCATTTCTAATCATATACTGTAATGAGAGGAATCCTTGGTTATCTATCCAAACGAATACCTCACAAGGCAGGACTAATGCCTTTGCAGAGGGTTTCAGTAAAGAAGTCTCTTGTATCTGTTGAACTGGGTCTGATTACAATTAAATGATTTCATCGAATCAGAATCTTTGGGATAGTCAAGGTGGTAGCTCCCTGCATTCCCAAAAGAAGGTAACTCAAAATAAGGCTTGTCAGGAGATGGTGATCTGTAGGACCTCACTAGTCATATCCTATTCAGAAAATGCTTCATGGAACCCCTCTGACTGCAGAATAATTTTATTAATAACATTGGTGCTTCAGAAACCAAAATCCTGTTTCTTTAGGCTCTTGAGTATTGATTTTACAGACTATCATCACTCCTTCTAGAAATAGCATTAAAGGGTAACAATAACCTTGGTAACACACTCGAAGTGCAGTTCAACTCCCTGGCTTAGGACTTGCTCCAAAAATAGATCAGCAGTCTAAAAGGACAGTTAAATTAATTTGAAAAGTAATAGGCTCTTCCTGAACTTTAAATTCTTAAAAGCTGGGAAGACGGCGGTGAAATAGGTGGGAGCTGAACCCACTTCTGCATGCACCCATTTGGGACACCTGGCAGGGACACCTAGCTGATCTTTCAAAGAACAGAGTCAACAGCCAATGAATCCCAGCTTATATGAAGTTTGGAAGCCAAATATTGCAGGGACATTTAAAAATGGATGGTAAGAAGATTTTGTAGGCCGATGTAAAGGTCCTTGGGCCCTGCTCCAGGGACTGTGGCTGCTGCAGAAACTTTAGAGGAGAGCAGAGTCAGTGGTTGTAACTTGGCAGCTCCCTCCCCTCCCAGAACAGAAAAGTCACCGACCTGTGCCAGGAAAGACCTGGGCGCTTGGAGTCATTGGGGAGGCATGGGGATAGTAAAGAGGCAGTGGGAGACACGCAGCAGAAGGTATACCTTGGCTAGGACTGTGGTCACTGGCTGGGACACTATAAAAAAAACGGGAGCTGTGTGAAACCTGGAGATGGGAGAAGAGATGGCCCATGACTGACCATGACCCAGACAGTCTCAGGGGACTGGTCAGAGAGTTCAGCTGTGTGAAAGCCAGGTGCTTGTTAGGAATGGCCTCCCACAGCTAAGTGGAATTTGCTCAAAAAAAGGCTCTCAGCCACAGTGCAAAGACCTCTTATGTGTAGCAGCTGGGCCACAGGGGGTGTGTGTGTGGGGGGTGATTTTCTCCCATTCAGGGCGCCTCTTGGTTTGATCAAAGGAGGGCATCAGGGGCTCAGAGAGGTAGCAGTCTTCAGAGAGACTTAATTTAATAGGGAACTAAACTGCTCTGAAGGGACTTTGTGTGTGCAGCACCCAGGCCAGCAAAGAGGGAGGAGGAGGGGTACGATTTGCTCTCACTTAGTGCAACTGACAGACTAATCAAAGGGTTGTACAACGAGGTAGATTAAAGGCAACGGCCTGGTGCACATGGACAGTGTGGGCCATGCAGCACTCTGAGGGCTTGGGCTGGAGGCTGGGAACCTGTGAATATTGTAGTAGCCCAGACCAAGCTCCATAGAACTACAGGTAAGAAAAAAAAAAAAATGGAGCCCTACCCCCTACTGCCTGTAGCATCAAGGATGACCAGCAGAACCTGCCTGACAGGTTTAAAGTCAACAGGAGGCTTTTTTTTCCTTTTTCTTTCTTTCTTCTTCTTCTTTTTTTTTTTTTTGCAAGTGTAAGACATTAAGACCTGGAGCCATGAAAGGACCAAAGACAGATCCAAAGAGAGATCAGAAGGCTAACACCAACAACTGAGACAAATTTCACTTTGCTATCCTTCAGAACTTGCAATTTATTTATTTTTTATTTTTTTATTTATCTTCTTTCCATTTAATTTTGTTTGATTTCATTGTTTGATTGGTTTTCTTTGTTCTCCCTTTCATATTGCACTTTAATTTGTCACTTCACTCGTATCCCAGTAAAACATTACTCTTGGTCTTTTACTTTTTATTCTTTTTATTTAGATTATATATTTCTGTCATATTATTGTTGTTCCAAATCCCACACAGCACCCTTCCCTGGTCTCGGTCCATTTTGCTATCTTCTTGAGCTTTATTAGTGTAGTGTTAACTTTATTTTCTTGCATACTACGCCAAGTTTCTACCCATTACTCTCATTGTATCTTACCATCTAACCTTGCATAAGTGCTCTGCTTTCTGGAGTCAGCTCACATTCTTTTTTTCCCTAATGCTAAGAGTCTTATCTCTTTTTCACCTTTTAAAAAAAGTGGCTAGTTGGGTGAAATATCACAGTAGTTGCTGTACTTCTCCAAAGGATCTCCTACCTGTTTTCTACTTGTTGGTATTTTAAATTC